CACCCTTGATCTGGTAACTTCGTTCTACCCTCCTTATCTTTCCTCCATTGAGGACACTGTCGCATCTAAGTGTGGGGGGGTTCTTTGTATTTATTGGAACGTATATATGGGTGCTTGGAGCCTAGTCCGCTGTCCGAATCTTACGATTTGAGGGCTCCAAGTACTGCTGTTTGATCATATTGGCACTGTGTTTTGATTGATGAATTGAATGGTTTTCGGATTAATGCATGACAACTTGTTTGCGACTAGGACAACCTATGATGAGGACTGAGATGTGCAGTAGAACGATGTAGGGGTTCAGTTTTTCAACTGTTTGCTTACCAACTGTGACTTGATCTGATCACTTGTTCTTGACAGTCGTTTATGCATCTAGTTCAGGGTATCAGAATGTGAGATAGAGCATATAGGTAGCCATGTGAGATTTGAGCCTGCTCGTTTCTTTCTTGTGCGATAGATCCCTCTTCCATGATGTGTAGCATTCACGTTGTCACTAGCTAAGATGATGGGGGCATAGGATTAGCCCACGCCCAAATTGACTGTCCTGATGTGTCATATCCCCTAGTCAGCCCCTTTGAGCCGTGTGTTATCCTTTCTTTTTTGGTCTATAACGAAAAAAGTCACCCTTGTTGCATCTTTTAGAAGGTTCCACGGAGTGGTTTTTACATATTCTCTGCTGTTTCTGCTAAAGTTTATGTGAGTGTTGGAGGTAGTGCTTAAAAGTTGGGCAGGTGTTTGAAATATGTGCAGAAGTAGTGGCTCTCTTAAGAAATGAAAAGAAAAATGAAAGAAAAACAAAGAAAAATTGAAAGCAAAAGAGAGCCACTACCAAAAATCTGAATAATGCCCATTAAGTAGTGTTTCTTAGCAGTCTGGCTTGGAAATGCTGATGTTTATACCTCCTTCGCTCTTGTGTTCTTGAGATGTTGAGTATTGCAGAATAGTAGAAAGGGAATATTGGGTTGTTTGATTGTGATTGTGTGGTTTGGAAATGTGGAACCTTGTGCTATGAATACTTCCACCACCTAAAAGGCCTTTTCCCCATGTCCAAGACCCTAGCCAGTCACTTGAACCTGTGTCTAAGACCTCCGGATTAGTTAGTGGTGACACCCTATATGTGAACTCTAGCATTTAGAGGCTGCCATCATGGTGAAGAGATGTTAGGGATTGAGAGAAATAGCATGCGCATTTTTCGCATTAAATTGTCCCGACCCCACCGGTCGAGAGTGAGTGATTCATTTTCATATTCTTTTTACTCTTGTACCCCGGTGAGGACCTAGATTGCTCGGTCTCTGTTCTGATGTCTTGAGTTGGATGCATGAGTTGACTGTTTTGAGTGAGTGGTTGAGTCAAGTCTGGTTGGTTGGTGAACAGAAGGGAGACTCTCCGTTGCTTGATTTTGCTGCACTCGAATGTCCTTTGTGGTGGTTGTCCAGGTTGTTATTGAAGTTGTTCATGTGTTGATGTTTGAAAACCAGTATGATTCACGTGTTCTGTGCCTTTATGACTTGTCCCCAATGTTGGTTGATTGAAATATGTGAGCTTACCTTGTGTATTACTTGGTTTGCTTGGGGACAAGCAAACAGTTAAGTGTGGGGGGATTTGATGACTCGGTATTTGCACATGTTTTCCCTTTGTTTCTTGATTGTTAGAGCTTCAATTATCGCTTCTTTGGCCTATTTTACGCTAGGTTGTGTTCCTTTGTCACATTTCAGGTCCTAGCATGTAAATTGAAGCATAGACGCAAGTTTCAAGTCAATCGGAGATCATTTGGCAATTCGGGAGAAGAAACACGAGCATGACCTGAAGAAGAATGGATTTCTACCTCACTTTACGGACAAAGAATCATGGAAGTTTGTCATGAAAAGAAATAGGACGAGACTACGAGCGTCTGGGTTCAAACGGCGACTGATTTGGAGTCCGGACGAGGGAGAAACGAAGCTTTGAACAGGAGCGGAGGAAGAATTACGGGCAGGAGAATTACGACCGTAATTTAGCCTCCCATGCCCGTAATTTCATTGCCGAGAGGAGCTTTGGGTGCGCTGAAACTTAACCAAAACGCGTGTTTTGGGCAAAATACGGGCATGGAAGAATTACGACCGTAATTCAGCCCGTAATTCGCCCAGAATCAGGTTTTTTAGGCAGATTCGAGCCAAAGGAAAGGGAGAGCTGGGTTTTGGTTCCCAAACACCCAAGGGACGAACCCTAGAGAGAGAGCGACTTGGGAACATTCTTGGAGCTATTTTGGAGGATTTCTTCGCCATTGGAGCTCGGGAATCAAGCTTGGAGATGGAGATTGAAGATCTAGATCAGATTTCTGCAGTCTCTCTCTTCTCTATGGAGTAACTTCCCTTCACTTAGGTTTTGAGGAACTCTAGTTCCATGTGTTAGGATCTTTCTTGTATGAAGTTTTGGATGCTATATTGTTTGATTATAATCGATTGAGGCATGATTTATTGAGTCAATTGAATCTTGATCAAATTCTCTTGATTTCTGCTTTAACCTATGATAGATAGAATCTTATTAGGTTAAGAGAGCTTCCTTGATTGATAGTGGTGAATTGGTAGTGCGAGAGTCAATCAATTCACTGCTTTGTACTGGAATTCATTCCAGTAGTGGAGTTCTGTGTTTATAGCCTCAGCTTTCTATCCTGGTAAAGACTAGTCGTCTGCCGGGTAGTTGGACTGAGAGGGCTTGGTCAGCTTAAGAGATTCCAAGCTAATTTAGGATCTTCCGCAGTTTAATCAATAGTAGATCAACAAAAGGTAATTGCAACTTGGACATAATTGAGGAGCTAGGGGGAATCATACCTAAGTGAGTTCCCAACTTGTAATTAGTAGAGTAGTCAGTAGAGTAGTTTATAAATCAATCCTTAATCTAGTTTGCTAGATAATGAACTGAAGCTGAGTAATAGTAACTCTAGAGACCCGTGGATTCGATATTTATTACTTGTGCCACTATACTGCAGTCCCTTTCATTGGTTACACTTGGCCATTGTTAGGTGTTGTGTTTTAGCGTGTCAAAAGATTATAGATTATATAATAGTAATTATTTAGGTCAATAAGGCGGGTTCGGGTTAGTCGGGTTCAGGTCAATCGGATTGGGAGTCAATCGGGTTATGGGTTCAATCGGGTACAGGTCAATCGGGTTCGGGTTAATCGGGTTGCGGGTCGAGCGGGTTATGGGTCATTGACTTTTAGTCAATTCGGGTTGCAGTCGGGCTACGGGTCGGGTTGATCCGGCGGGTTACTCGGGTCGGGTTTTATTTGACACATATACTTATATATGATGATATATATGATCCTTTTATATTGAACTCTTAGATCCTCTAGATGATTGATCGTAATCAATGTAGTCAAAATCGCGCTTTAAAACTTAAAAGCTTATGATTTTACGCTTTTAGGTCACAAAACGCTTTCGTTTTCATGTAAAATCTTTGGTGTGTAAAATCGGACTAAATCGCGCTTTAAACCTTAAAATCTTACGCTTTTACGCTTTTGGTTCACCAAAATGCTTTACGATTTTACGCTTCTAGTTCACTAAATGTTTCATGAAATTAATTATAAAAAGTACTTTATAAAGGTAAATCACCAACAGTATGATACATTTGAGATGAAACAATACATACCGGGTACTTAGATGCATTCTCAGCTTCAATAGAGTAATCTAATACACCGGGTAGGCCCTTCCCAAATTCATTAGCATATAGGGGAAGGTGGCTTATTGTTAAGATTTATGCTTATGAACTTATTGTTAAGATGCTATGAGTAGCTCTTAGACATGAATTGCAAGTATTTATTAACTTATCCAAATTTTGTGCACTCATATTTTACATAGTATATGTCGTACTTAATAGATTTTTAGTTATTTTACAGTATGCACTAAAAAATTAAGCTTTTACGCTTTGATTCTACGATTTACGATTTTACCCCGTTTAACTTGTAGATATAATCGTGATTTTGACTGCATTGATCGCAATTGATGATTTTTTGTTATTGAACTCTTAGGTCTTCTGGATGATCGCAATTGATGCCATTTTCTAATGTATTATTTTGTAGTGATGCATAAGTGATCATCAGTATGGTCAACGGGAAGGATTTGTCGCATATGATAAGAAGTTATTCTATAAGAGGTTCAGGTGTTACGTTATTCACAATGTTCTTTATTCGATTTTGCATATTGTAAGTATGATAGGGCTGCGGCAAAAATACTCTATTGTTCTTAAATAAACTTTTGATCGACCAAAGTCTCTATCTCTTTTTAGTTTTTATGATTTGCCCTACAAAAGTTTAATATACTGCTTCGCCTCTTAGAGACATCTGACAAAAAAAAACGATATATTGCACAACTTTCTTGGGTGATCAATTTTACGCTTGTCAATAGGCTTGGCAAACGCACCTGGTAATTCGAGAATCCGCCCGAATTCGACCTAGTCAACGCTGGCAAAATTAGCTTTTGACGCTCACCGGGTCGAGTTTGGATTAATCCGAATTAGCGTGTTACGGGTGACGGACGGGGATCAGATTCACTAATATCCTCCCCGAACATATATACCCCTTTCTTCCAGAATTCCCTAGCAAGCCCTAGCCCACAACCGCTTTATGCCTCTCTCCCCTGACTATACGATTTCCCTCCTCAAAAAGCAAAACAAATGGCTATCAGATTGCTTCGAATGCCTAATTTATCGCGCATGCTGCCTTATCCCATATTCCCACAACGATCCCTCCTTCCTTTCCTTGATTATCTTCTTTCCTTTCCCATGGTGACGATAATTACTTTCCTTCTGTCGAGAAGAGTCGATTCAACTGAATTGTTGGGTCTTTTTGTCAATCTAAATTTTCAAAAAACATGATCATTTTATCGTTTTTATTAGAATAAAGTATTTATTATAAGGCCCAAAGGCCAAAAGGCCTATGGGCCAGGACCTCTTCTCTTTTCCAACAAGTAAAATGGCCCAGGTCTGGGCAAGTGACCCATATGGTTGATGACTAGAATGGCTAAAGTTAGTATACTTCCAACCAACCTTCAAAACCCATATTTCAGTTTGATTTGAAGGGTAACCACATACGACCAGCTTACAAAAGACTTTTGCAACCAACGAAGTCTCCCCTTCCCAAGCTCCATGGGAGAGAAGAGTAAATGATGCATGTTACAGTAACAAATCTCCATCGATGTTACAACAACAGAGCTTTCGACAGTCCTTTCTAACCAAAAAAAACAACTACATATGCTTTCACTCGTTTTTAACAGCACGGTAAATCCGGCAAACAAACACAAAGGAAGCACAAAAACTTACTGCACCAAGTATCAAGAAAATCCCATAGCACAAGCAGGCAGTGTAGCCGAAAAAGAAGGATGTCTGCAAAATACCGCTCATACTCGACCTGGAAAAGAAGTATACGGAATAAAGAAACATGAATATTGCTGGCGACCCCCCTCGCAACACCGTTCTGCATCATAACAGTAAGACAACGTTTATCAATATACACTAAACCGAGATGCCAGATCGAATTGAAGGGGAAATGTAATGGCATCATCATACCTCCACCACCATTGGTGGTCCTCGACGGAGAGCTGAATGTAAGTCATCCCAATGCTCAAGATTGCTGTGAGCAAGCACAGGATGACGAATGAGACGAACAAGATCGCGGGTAGAGTTGTAATTTTGTATCCCCAAAAGGTGGTGTAGAGACTGTGCAACTCTAGAGCAACTGCACTGGAAGGTAGAAGTCCAGCAAGTAGCATTTGAGGAAGTGTTTTCCTGTACCATCCCAATTTTGGAATCTCTCTAGGGTGTCTTTTTGGAGCTGAAGGCGGCTGGAATTCGGACCTGAACGTGTATCCGATGATCCCGCTCAATATGAGCAATGGAAAGGCTAAGAACACGCATATGAGGAGAACCACCATGATGGTGCCAAATGGAAGTCCAGCTGTGGCGCCATAGGAGACAGCAACTGTGTTCAGAATGGACATTGTGATGAAGAATGGACCCAGGTAGAGAATTCCAGTAAGGAATACAGTTTTCCCCTGGGGAGATATGGATAAAAGAAAGAGCAAGAATTATATGCATTGTCAAGAAAGGAAACAGTGTATCTAGAAGGTGGAAATTGTCTTAAGTCTTACCCATCCTGTTGCTTCGAATTGACTATGAAATGAAGCAGAAATGTAACCTCCAACAACGGATGTAAGAGCATACACCATGACACAAGCAGTGCATAATGCTCCTCGGTTGTAAGGATAGAGTGTACCAACAAAGGCCAACACAAATAGAAGGAATGCCCTGAATTATTATCGCAAAGTTAGCAAGGACTAGCTTCAGAAGCTCAGCAATACAGTATCAAGATTCAAGACAATGCAATCAGCTGGCCCATTCAATGCTGGGAAAAGGAATTGGTATAGTAATGAACGAAAGAGCTTGATCAGAATACAATTTTAACAAGCCACCTAAACGAATGGAAATTTATGTAGCTTAAAGGAAACTGCACACACAAATTTTACTTGGCAATCGTGCACCTACATGGTTAACAGTTGAGCTCCTGTGGCCAAGAAGGCACAAAACAATGACATGTTTTGTGGATGTCTAAAAACATCACCATGAACATACTTCCATCCAACCTCCTTATCTTCTCCTTCGTCATCTCCGCTAGATGACCTGCAAAGAAGAATGGAGATAGATAATCAGATCATTTCTAAGGAATGTGCTACATGAAACTTGGAACATTGAGTAAAACAAATTTACTTACATTCTCAGATCATTCCTAAGACGCCTAAAGAAGAATGCTATAAGCAATCCCATCAAGAGCAGAAGGATAACAGCCGAGTTGACAAACGAGAACCAATGAATCTTCTTGTGCACAGAGAGCAGCGAAGCCCTTGTATATCTAGCCATCCGGTTCTGGTACACTGTTGAAGTTTCATACCAGGAGACCGAATAAGTGAAGTCGACATCAAGTTCAGCAGCATCATCTGTTATGTCCACAGCATCGTTCGGATCACCAAGAGCATTGATCTCTATCACTTGATCCCCATTGTAGAGCACATCAAAATTGACATGTTTGAACAGGTAAAACTTCAACTTGTTACCATCTTCAAGAACCCAACTCTGCTCTTCAGTTTTCCCAATAAAACCCCACAATGGGAGATCATCATAGTACATCTGGAAATAATAGTCATTGAGAATCACCTCTCGGAATCTCCTGATATCACCCTGTGTAAGCTTCTTCAGGCATAGGGTCGCCCTGGATTTGACCTCCAGAAACTTCAAATCGTAGAGGGCATTTGCTAAACGATCACCATTCAGCACTTCACCTAGGGTTTGCTTCGTTTGAATGACACGATCTAAAATCCCAACAAAGATCCAAGCTTTAATACCAACTCAGCTCGCCAATTGGAAGAAAAGGCTGCAATCTTTTTTGTCGAAGAAAGCTGAGGGTGAGTACCTAAAAGGGCTAACCTGGACGGCAGAATGGCAGCTCATAGAATTCATACGTCTCGCTGCAACACAATAAAATTGCGAACCCAAAAGCAAAAAAAAAAGCAGCAAGCTTTAAACTCATTGAATTCACGGAACAGAGAATTTACAATTGAGCTCTACACGAGTGGTGGGATCTGAGTACCTAGGATTGCGAAAGGGCCCGACTTTGTTAACGAACAGGGGAACGTCATCCCCGGCATTGTAATGGCGATTGGCCGGCGACGAAGCGGCCGAATCAACGGCGAATAAGGCTAGAGTGACGACGAAGGCGGCGATAAGGTGGAGGGTCATTTTAATTCAGCGGACAGAAAGAGGAATACGCAACTCCGAGAAGCGAAAAGACGGAGAAGGGGGAAGTCAAACAAAACCGTCGACCTGCAAATCATCTCGCTCGCACTATGCTTACATTTTTTTTCTTTTTAAATTTAATAATTGAGTAAAGAGAATTTCTGGTTGTTTGACTCGTCATTAAAAAAGTAAGTCTTCTCTTCCCTTTAAAGCTCTAGTCCATTAGTAGGTGGATTCAATAATGGAAGGGCGGGAAAATGTCGTCTGCTCCCTAGAATTGCATCATCTCTCCGTTGGTTGGTTGGTTGCTAGGAATCCTGCAGGCAGCAGTCGATGTTGAAAACGAAAGCAGAAAAGAAGAAAATCAGTACTACCCAATAACCCAAAGCTTCTTCAGTCGGCATTTCACTGGTGGGTTCTGGAAAATATGACATTCAATAATACATAGACCATTTCCCACCATTTTTGCTAATGTCTCTAATAATTCTACCTTGCCCTTCTAGCTCGATTGACCAAAAGAAACAAAAGGGGGGAAATTAAAAACAGGGGGCTCTGTTTCTACGATACACTGTTTTCGTTGAACTTGTTTCCTCGCAAAACTAGAAGTCGTATAACTCATCCATACTCCACATTCCATACTCAACTAGACTATCCTCCACCCAATTGACTTCCATCGCCAAGTCATAGCAGCCGCCAGCATTCTGTTGCTCCTCGTGCAGGGCCGGCGCCAAAATCCCCTGCTCTGACAGTAACTCCGGCGGAGGAGAAATGTAATCCGCGACAGAGTCGGAAAATCTTTGTGGGTTTTGACTGAAATTGGCTCCCGCTGGTTCTGAAGAAGGAGGAGGATCGGGAAGTGAACCTTCAACCTTCTCAAGCAACCTGGGAATAAAGAAACACTTGACAATGTCATTGAAAACGGCTCCATTGGGATCCACCTTGAGGTGGCGGGCTTGCTTCTGGACGCGAGTCCTCCAGTAGTTCTTGATCTCGTTGTCCGTCCTTCCGGGCAAAAACTGTGCTATCTTCGACCACCTATTGAATTGAATTCATCACCCAAATTAAAAATCATTTAACAGTTAAACTAAACTAACAGATGATGGTTAGTCCAAGTTAAACATGATTAGTATCTAATCTAATTACCGGTTGCCCCATTTGGAATGGAGGTCCAGAATCAAGAGCTGCTCTTGCGGTGTGAGGTTGCCGCGCTTCACTTCCGGGTTAAGGTAATTAAGCCACCTTAATCTGCAGCTCTTCCCAGTTCTTCTCAACCCTGTTTCAATCCAACTTTACTGGTTAAATCAAGTTTAGAAAATGCTACTGATTTGAGTAATTCTGGCGCCACTTACCAGCACGTTTAGCGAGGGAATTCCAGCGACCATCGCCATGTTTGGAAATGAAACCGACAAGGAGGGCGTCTTCTTCCTCGGTCCATGGCCCTTTTCGAAGCTCCCCTGCATCTTCCTGGCTTGACCCACTACTGCTACTCATGCCGCCGCAGCAATGGAAATATTAAGTCTGTCTGTAATCTGATTTCAAAGCAAAGGAATCAATGGGGGGGAGCTAGCTGCTAGTGCTAGGGGGAAGGAGACAGGAAACAAGAATGTGGGAGTTTTCGTTTTAGCTTCCCTCAAATGGTAATTGGGTCTACTACGTCTTTAAGTAGAAAGAAACTGATGGGTTTTGGTTTCCATGATGGATGTGTGGAAGATTGGGGAATGGATCACGTCAGTAACCTTATGGTGAGTAACCATGAGTAACACGTCCACATCAGCATGACATCAACATCCTCTCTCTCATGGAAAGCCTTTAATTTTTCCCTTTTTAATCTTTGACGGACGATTTGTCGCTCATTTTAAGTCGAAATTTAATTTTTTTTTGCACAGTTAGGTCAGATTAATTGTGCTTTTCAAAATGATATCCACTTTAATATATTTTTCGAACAAAAAAAATTGAGCCATTTTTTACCAGCCTATACCATATGGTATTGATTGGTATTGAAATAAAAGCATACCTATGTTTTGAAAAACGTATCATGGTGGTATGAACAAACCAATACTGTAAGATGGTTGAATACATGATAGTAGAAGTATATTAATTGTAATTTACGACTTTTAACATTGTATACCACACAATACCACCCCGTACCAGGGTGGTATTGTATGGTATTGTGTGGTATTTTTTGGTCCTGTAATTTGTTCACCCAGAAATTTGTAGATCCAATAGATCATGATGAACTCGTCCCTTCTGTGCAAACGTTTTCAAAAACGAATTAAAAACGAAGAAGATACCATACAATACGGGGTGGTATTGTATGGTATTGTGTGGTATTTTTTGGTCCTGTAATTTGTTCACCCAGAAATTTATAGATCCAGTAGATCATGATGAACTCATCCCTGCTGTGCAAACGTTTTCAAAAACGAATTAAAAACGAAGAAGATACCATATGGTATGCAGTTGGTACCGAGATGCCAGAATTTTTTTTTGTCTAAAAAAATATTGAAAATTGATCTCATTTTGTAGAGCACGGTGAACTCGTTCCATCTGTGCAAAAAAAATTAAAATCCGAGTTAAAACGAAAAAGATATGAGTCAATTAAAAAAGCTAGTGAAAATAAAAATAGTCTTTAATTCTCCATCCTTAGATCTGGATTTTTTAAATGAAGGGTCCAGATTTGGTTATTGATGGGTGCATAACCCATGGTTATGCACCCTATCTTGAGCCGGAAGACTGGATTTTTAATCTTTTGGTAGGTGACTGACGTGATCTACACTTTCATCTCTTACAAGCAATGACATTAGATTTACTTTTTCTTACAGTAATATTAGGTTTACTTTCAAAAAATATTAGGTTTACTAGGATGGACCAAATATGGGGTGAATGAAGTATTGAGTAGAATTTGTAAGGACCCAGTATAATCAAACCAGTTTAAGTGTTGGTAAACATGTGTTGTTGGACTTAGCAATGACAATTTCGAGCTAATTCGTTTTACATTATTACTTGAACTGCTTTGACATGCCACATTCTTAACTTTTTTTTGCCTAAATTATATGTAATTTTACTCAAATTACTTAAGATTTTACTTTTATTATCTCATATTTAAACTATTATGAACTTATAAATTGGTGAGAAAATCTATTTGTAGAATAATTTAATTACATTTATCATATTGTAGTTTATTTTTTAATATTAAAATAATATTTTTAATATTTTTCCCTTAAATTGCATACACATATGGATCGACTTGCTCCGACTCACGATCTGTATTAAATTACCCGAACTCGCCCGGGACATTCCCTTGGTCATTTCTAGTTGAGTTTGGATAAAAAAAAATATTGGCAGAGTGTCTGACCTTGGTCCTTCTTCGTATAGTAGTATTTGGTTTTTTTTTTTTTTTTGACAAGAAGCTGCATATATTGCACTTCAGAAGTGAGTACAAAGTTTAGGGTAAAACCCATGGAAAGATACAGCAGAAAACAAAGGGAAAAAAAGGCCCACAAAACAAAGCCCTTACATATGTTTCAAAAAGAAACAAAACATGAAGCCCAAAACCCAAAGCCTGCACAGAGAGCCCAATTAACCCTAAAGCCAACTACCAACACCAACCCTAGCCAACATCTCTTCTCCAACCTGCCGCCGCCAACCATCCAAACAGAGTCGCCGAAAACCGATCGCCGACCACCAGCTCACCAAGCATTGACCGGACCAACGCCACAACGGGAGAAACTGCAGACCGCGAGGAGCCCGGAGACCACGAAAAACGGCAACGAACAGGCTTGGAGAAGAGACGAGCTTCAGAATGATGCATCCCTGCCTTCAACATCTTAGAACCGCATCCAGGCCGCTGCATATGAGAAAGCCTTTGCATCTCCGAAACACCGACGCAATGGGTGAAGCAAGGAGGTAGATGAAAGGTAAGAAGATGAGAAGACAAGCTACCGATCAAAGATCTATAGCCCCCTTTGACCACTGAGCGAAAGAACCAAACACATCTAAATCTGAGGATCAGAAGTAGAGGTTGGAACAGGAGACAACCAACTCACAAGGAGTGGCAGAGAAAAACCCCAAAAGTGGGCATGAAGGTGAAACAGAGAACTGAAATAAGGAAGCCTCAAAAACATGCACAGAAAAGGAAAATGGAACCAAGCAAAACAAACAAGCAGGAAAGGAAAAAAAGCGGTGGAGGGCCACCGTCGGTCCCAAAGGGGAGCCGGCGGCAGCCCAAAGAAGGCTTGAATCTGAAAACCCTAGCTAGAGAGAAGACAGAGAAAAGGGAAGTTAGAGAGAGATGGGTATTATCATTCTTGATGCATTGTGCTCTCTAGTAGTATTTGGTTTGAGATAGATATTACTTGGGATTTGGTCCAATGGCAGTAAAACCAGATCTTATGATTCAAATTTTGGTTTCGTTTTTGTCGAACATTGATATTGGAAATCGAATCGTTTCTTAAACATTTTAAGCGAAAACAAATCATGTCTTATAGAAGCCTTTTAACGACTCACTTGAATGCTCTCTTTTGACCAGCCTTGTTGTTGTTGTTGGTGTGGTGACTTTTCACCTCAATCGGTGTTTGTAAAACTGTACCGACGATCTAACCGGGAAAAAAAAACTTGTATAAATTATCAACCTAATATAGAAATGTTACCAGCATAAACAACAACAACAACTAAAAAATTCCTCACTTTAAAGTTAATAAGTAAACACCTATCTTCATTTCCCAACCCAAAGCATCCCAATTCCCAAGTCCAAAACAAGCGCATGAGATGAGATGACATGCATGCTGCCCTAAAATTCAACCCAAAGAGTTTTGGTGATGTTGGGGTCCCCCTAGAAACCAAAAAGGTCAAGAAGGGGAATTAAGTACATTGAAAGCGAAGCAGTTTGCACATACAATTTCCAATGGGCGGCGGCTCCCAATTCCATTCCATTCCATGGGCTCTGTTTTTCTTCTGCCTTTGTTGGTCACCATCGTCGTCTTTACACATGACAATGGCGGTAAGAAAACTGCTGAGACGTGCTTGACTGGCCAGAAAGCAACGAATCCAACAAGGGTCTACCACTTAAACGTGCGCTTATTGGGCTTCCATTATTTCCGTATCTCGCACCGGTCTTTCCATCAGCTGCTGAGCTCCGTTAGATCTCATGCTTACCGTATACACATCTTAATACATGATATGCAACCATTTATGTCAAACAACACGCACTGTTTTGTGTGTATCAGAAAATAGGAGTATTTGACAAAAT